CTTCAGGAAGGCAAGTGTGGTGCTTGCGAAGGTTCTCAACATTCTTCACACTCGATTTATGACATAAAATGACATCTCTCCCTTCCTTATCCCTCAGTTATAGGAGAGAGGGATAATGCTGTCATCTTTTTCTGAAGAAATGGATATACCAAGACCAGGCTCTGGATTTCATTATAAGCAATATGTGAATCTCAAATTTGCTGGCAGGAATGGAGAAAGAAGTGAATGGATAAACAAACAAACAAACAAAACCCAGAAAGCAACAAATGCTGGTGAAGGTGTGGGAAGACTGGTATGCACACACTGTGCAGTACTATACAACGTGGAAGACTATGATGAGTCGGCGAAATACCTCACAACACGGATCAGCCTGGAGGACATTATGCTGAGAGAAATTGGTCAATCACAAAGACAAAGATTATTTTTTAATGTTAGGAAAAGGTTTGCTTGCTAAAAGAAACATTCTATGATGATTACCTGGTGTGGGGGAGGGGCTGATGAAGGAGAGGATGGAAGATTATTCACAGGTTAGAGGGTAGACACATGTTAACATGGGTGATGAGGCAGGCACTATGCAAAAGGGAGGTTGGCAAAGGAAGGAAGACGGTGGAAAACCCAGGAAAGAATGCAAGAGTTAAAGTGAATAGAGGTAAATATCGCTAATTGATGTTGCATAGAGGGATTGCAATCATTGATATAAAGCAAAGTACATGATTTGTTGAATGTGAGACTGATTATCTGTTTTGTAAACCTTCACTCAACTCACAATAAAAAGTTATTTGATGTTTAAATTATTATGTATCCCTTAGTGTTTTTGTGTACATCCACCACCACCCCCCAAAAAATCCCCCCCAAAAAAACCCCATAGAAGGAATGGAAGCAAATACTGTTGAATGATGATGCCCAGAGGAGATTGTAATCATTGCAATGAAATGATGGTGTAAAGCCAATGTTCTTCCATGTAAACTATCACTCAATTCACAATAAAAACTTAAAAAACAAAAAACCAAGTTATTTGATAGATAACAGAGATGGGAGGAGGAGGAAGGAGGGTGTTGTTGTTAGGTACCATCCAGTCAGTTCTGACTTATAGAGAGGCCCTCTGCACAACAGAACGAAACACTGCCCAGTTCTTCGCCATCCTCACCATTGTTGTTATGTTTGAGCCCACATTGCCACTGTGCCAATCCTTCTCAGGGCAATCTTCCTCTTTTTCGATGACCCTACACTTTTCTATGCATGATGTCCTTCTCCAGGGACTGGACCCTTTTAAAAACGTACGCGATAGAAGATATGTTGATTCTGTCGAAGGGAAATGCAGCTCACAATATGAGAAAGTCAGTACAACATAACCAAGGCAAGACATTGAGAGGTACACAAGGTTAAAGAACATTACAATAAATGCTATAACACACGAAATTCTACATCAGCAGTGGTGCCGGTAGTGGTTATGAGACATGGAGTTGGTTCCAACTCATAGCGACCCAGTGTAGGGTTTCCTCCAATGCTGTAAATCTTTACAGGAGCAGAAAAGCTCATCTTTCTTCCATGGAACAACTGGTAGATTTGAACTACTGGCCTTGTGGTTACCAGCCCAACTTGTAACCCACTATGCTACCAGAGCTCCTTTGCTTCAACAGTAATCACACACACATACACACACACACACACACACACACACACACACACAAGGTAAGAGTGGTTATATAGATAGATGGAGTCTTGGTGTGGCACTGTAGAATAAGCACTAGACCACAAGGTGGGTTTGAACAGCAAGGTTGGCAGTTCAAACTCACCAGCCACTCCTAGGAAACCCTATACAGGATCGCTATGGATCAAAACCAACTCGTCAGCATTTACCAACAACAACATAGGTAGATATGTATGCTGTGTGGGTGTGGGAGGGTATATAGGAGTACCTGTGTGTGCATATATAGGTCCGGAGACCTGGTGTAGTGCTGTGGGCTAATGCGCTGGACTTCAAGGTTGCTTTGAAGCTAAAAGTCCGGTGGTTCAAGCTCACCAGCTGCTCCTCAGAAACCCTATATGGGGTCACTATGGGTTGGAACCGACTCGACGGCACTTAACAACAGTAAAATAGGCATTTGTTTATACATAGTTGTATGTGTTGCTTATGTATTCATATATATAATAGAGTGTGTGGGGGGCACATTATATACATTCCAGTTATTGAAACGTCTTTGATATACCCAAACACCTTGTGTGACTGAGTGACTGGGTTTAAGGACTATAGTCTCAGGGGACATCTAGATCGATTGGCACAGCACAGCTAGATTTATTCCTGAGAATTTTGTTATTTTTGATGCTGTTATAAATGGAGTTGTCTATTTTCAATTTGCTCATTGCTAGTGTGTGAAAAGACATGTATACTTTGTAGATTAATCTTATATCCTGCAACTTTGCTGAACTTGTTAATCAGTTCTAAAATAGCTTGTTATTTGATTTCTTAGGGTTTACTATATACAAAATTATGTCATTTGTGACTAGTTGTTGTTGTTGTTGTTGTTGTTGTTTGTTATTAGGTGCCATCGAGTCGGTACCACTCATAGTGACCTTATGCACAGCAGAACGAAACACTGCCTGATCCTGGGCCAACATCACTACTGTTGCCATGCTTGAGTCCATCGATGCTGCCACTTGGCCAATCCATCTTGTTGGGGGGTCTTCCTCTTTTTCTCTGACCCTCTACCTTACCCAACCTTACCCTTCACCAGCGACTGGTCCCTTCTTGTCAGAAGTATGAAAGATGAAGTTGGGCCATCTTGGCCTCTAAGGAGCACTCTGGCTGCACTTCTTCCAAAACAGATCTATTGGTTCTTTTGGTAGCCCATGTCACTTTCAATATTCTCCTCCAACACTCAAATGCATCAGTTCTTCTATGGTCTTCCTTATTCACGTCCAGCTTTTGCATGCATATGAGGTTATTGAAAACACCATGGTTTGGGTCAGGCACACCTTAGTCCTCAAGCTGACATCTTTGCTCTTTAACACTTTAAAAAGGTCTTGTGCAGAAGATTTGCCTAATGCAATACATCATCTGATTTCTTGACTGCTGCTTCCATGAGTGTTGATAGTTGACCCACGAAGAATGAAGTCCTTGACAACTTCAATCATAGCTTTATTTCTTCCTTTCCAATCTGGATGCTGGATTTCATTTGAAAATCTTGAAATGAAATTTCACTTCATTTCCTTGCTAATTGCCCTGCCTAGTGAAAGTCAAGAGGACTTGAAACATTTACTTATGAAGATCAAAGAGCACAGCCTTCGATATGGATTACATCTCAATGTCAATGTGGCATTGGAGGAGAATACTGAAAGTGCCATGGACTGCCAAAAGATCAAAGAGCACAGCCTTTGATATGGATTACATCTCAATGTCACTGTGGTGTTGGAGGAGAATACTGAAAGTGCCATGGACTGCCAAAAGAACGAATAGATCTGTTTTGGAAGAAGTGCAGCCAGAGTGCTCCTTGGAGGCCAAGATGGCTAAGCTTCGTCTCTCCTACTTTGGACATATTGTCCGGAGGAAACAGTCGCTGGAGAAGGATGTCATGCTGGGTAAGGTGGAGGGTCAGAGATAAAGAGGAAGACCCTTAACGAGATGGATTGGCCAGGTGGCATCATTGATGGACTCAAGTGTGGCAGCGGTAGTGAGGTTGGCCCAGGATCGGACATTGTTTCGTTCTGCTGTGCATGGGGTCGCTATGAGTCGGTTCCGACTCGATGGCACCTGACAACAACAACAACAGTACTCCAGTGTAATGTTGAATAGAAGTAGCAAGGGTTGTCTTGTTGCTGATTTTCAGAGAAATGCATTCTGTTTCTTACTCTTAAGCATGATATACCAAAACCCACTGTCATCGAGTCGATTCTGACTCATATAACATGGTTTCTAAGACTATGATTCTTTATCAGAGCAGACAGCCTTATTTTTCTCCTGTGGAGGAACTGGTGGGTTTGAACTGCCTACCTTGCAGTTAGCAGCCCAACACCTAGCCCTATATCTGGTTGAGCAAGTTCTTCTATTTCTTCTAGCTTGTTGAGTGTTTTTTATCAAGAAGTGGAGTCGAATTTTATCTAATTCTTTTTCTCTATCTATTGATATGATTGGAGTCCCGGTGTGGCACTGTGGGTTAACACACTGGACTGCAAAGCTGGTTTGAACCGCAGGTTCGGTGGTTCAAGCTCACCAGCCACTCCTTGGAAACCCTTTAGAGGGCCAGTGTGGGTCGGAACAGACTCAACAGCACTTAACAGCAACAATGACATTGATATAATTATAGCACTGTAGGATAAGCCCTGGAACACAAGGTCAGTTTGAACTCAAGGTCGGAAGTTGTTGTTGTTATTAAGTGCCATCAAGTTGACTCCAACTCACAGCTACCTTGTGTAGGGTTTCCGAGGTGTGGTGGGTGAGTTTGAGCTGCTGACCTTGCTGTTCAAACCGGCTTTGCAGTCCAGCGCATTAACCCACAGCGCTACGCCATTATATGGTGTTTGTCCTTTATTCTACTGGTACGACACATTATCTTCATTGATTTGGGGATGTTAAACCAACCTGACGTTTCTGGGATAGGTCCCACTTGGTCATGGTGTCTTTTTATATATTGTGGGATACAATTTGCTGGTATTCTTTTGTGAAAGTGTCTTTAGTGTCTATCGGATCACATCACATCGCTGCATTGAAACCTTTCTTTGGATTCCCAGTGGACACCAGAGGTCACCTGTGGAATTCAGCCAAAGCTACTCCATGTGCCTGTGAGATATCACCCCCTTGTTTTACTTCATCCTTTTCCAGGCCTGCGCCTTTGCTGCCTTGCTGGCTTCTTTTGAGAACATTTTCTACGAAATCACTTTCCTACACATCATCCTTTCAGCTGTGATTTGTGGGGATCACCAACCTGGGGCGGCCCTCCCACACACCTGGGGAGAGAGCCATGCTTCTGACACTGACCCGGGCTCTGTTGTTTTTCCTGCAGGTAATCTATGCCCTGAACACCCGCCAGGATGAGGCAGAGGCCAGCATGGAGGCTCTGCGGGAGGCTCATCAGGAGGAGCTCCAAAAGGTAGTGGCGGAGACCAGGGCCAGCCTCCTGCAGGACCAGGTCCTAGCCGAGGAGGATGCCCTCAGGCAGCGCATTCAGACCCTGGAGAGCGCCCTGGAAAGGCAGAAGAGGCTGACGCAGGAGGCTCAGGCCGAGTCAGCCACCTGCAGGCAGGAGACCAAAGAGAGGGAGCTGAGGGTGGAGGCGGAGCATGCTGAGCGGGTCCTGACCCTGTCCAAGGAAATGCTGGAGCTCAAGGCCGACTATGAGAAGAGACTCTGGCACCTAACGAGCCACGAGATGCCCCAGCGGGGACGGCTCCCCCCGGAAAGCCCCGACACCAAGGCAGAGCTGAGCCAGGGCCCAGCCTCCGAGATGCGTGAGGTCCTGCAGGAGGTGGAACGGCTGCGCGTGGAGAACCAGCAACTGAGCAAGGACTACGCCCGCAAGGCCGAGGAGCTGCAGGCCACATACGAGCGCGAGAACGAGGCAGTCCGGCAGGCCGTGCAGCAGTCGGTGAGCGAGGCTCTGTGGCAGTGGCAGGAGAAGGAGACGGACCTCCGCAGAAACTTCCAGCTGCAGGAGTCCGCCCTGCAGGCCCAGGTCAGGAAGCTCCAAGGGGACCTGGAGCACAGGGGCCGGAAGATCAGTGACCTGAAGAAGTACGCCCAGAAGCTGAAGGAAAGAATCCAGGTAGAGCCCGGTTCACCCTGGTTTCCAAACCGGACAATGAGTGTGGCCCCTGGTCTTGATGCTCTACTGTGTGCTGGGCACCAGACTTCCATCGAAGCAGGCATTGTTATCGCCATCAGATTGTAACTACATTCACTCAGCAAATGGTTAGTCAGGCCTGGGACTATGGGAAAGAGCTAGGTGATAAGCTAACCCTGGTCCTGGATCTCAAAGAACTGAGGAACCTGGACTTTACAGGACACAAGACGGAGATTGGGAGGACTGATGGGGTCAAACCCACCAACTGCTCCTTGGAAACCCTATAAAGGGTCACTATGAGACAGAACCGACTCAACGGCACTTAACAACAACAACAATAAGGGCTAGACTAGCTGAGCAGTTGCTAGTTGCCATTGAGTCAGCTAATGGGGACCCATGTGTGTCAGAGTAGAACTGTGCTCCATAGGGTTATCAGTGACTGGGGGTTTACAAGTACAGTGCCAAGCATTTCCTCTGAGGTGCCTCTTGTGGACTCAAGCCACCTGCCTTTCTGTGAACAGTCAATCACTTAGCTGGTAGCGTAGTGGTTACAAAACAGGCTGCTAACCTCACGGTCAGCAGTTTGAAACTACCAGCTGCTCCGTGGGAGAAAGATGAGGCTTTCTGTTCCCATAAAGATTTACAGCCTCGGACAGCCTGAACATGGTGGCTATGAGTCGAAATCGACTCCACGGAGCATAACAACATCAACAACTCCTAGCTGGGAGTCCTGGTGTGGCATTGTAGGATATATGCACTGGACTGCTAACCACAAGGTCAGCGGTTCAAATCCACCAGCCACTCACTCTTCTAAAATGCTTACAGGGTTGCTGTGAGTTGGAACTGACTCGACAGCACTTAACAACAACACACCTAGCTGAGCACCCAGCTAATAGGAACAGGGTCAGCTTTTGAACTCAGGTTAGCCTGATATTGGGTGACCACCTTGCTTGTCCTATAATGCTTAGGACTTGTATTCTGTAGAGAACCAGACCATGGTCTAACTTGGTTAGGTGGGCTGCACAAACCCACATCACCTCACCTTTAAAAAATAACAGCTCCTGTTGTGGCATTGTATGGTAAGCACTGGGTAAGCACTGGACTGCTTACCCTAAGGTCAGAAGTTCAAACCCACCAGCCGCTTCTTGGAATCCGCAGACAGTGTTGCTATGAGTCAGAACTAATAGCACTTCACACCACCAACAACAATCTCCTAAGAGTCTCGAAGCATGTTTTCTGTACCAGACACTTTATCTCATTTCATCAGACTGCTGCTGCCCAGGGCCCATCAGGGGATGAGCAGGAACTTGATGAACCAAGCCACTGAATTCCAGAGACCAGGGGCTCATGCTGTTCACTTACCCACTTTGCAGATTCTGCTGATAGTCTGTGCACTAGGACATCTCTACACAAAGTTTTGAGACCCTCTCTTTTCTTTAGGACCTGGACGTGCAGCTCAGGGAGGCTCGCCAGGAGAACTCCGAATTGAAGAACACAGCCAAAAAACTTGGGGAGAAGCTGGCGTTTGCCAAGGACAGACTGACGCTGCAGGAATGCTGTGTGTCCCAGAGAAGTGGTGAGATGCTTTGGAATGATTTCCTAAAAGATGGAAGGTTAGCGCCCAGGCTGGCCTGGCGCTGTTTGCAACCAGGGGACTGTTAAGGGAGCAGAGGGGTAGGGCTGTGATGGGATCCCACCTGGTGGGTGAGCCCAATCCCTGCAGAGCCCACGTAAGCTGACACCTGGAGCAGACTCACCTAAAGTCGGTGCAGACTGGCATCTAATGGCGTCTTCATCTCCTTGTGCGGCCATCACTGAAATGTCATCAGCAGTGTGAACACATTCATTGTCTCACAGTTCAGCCCAAATTCAGGGTACCAGCTCCAGGGGAGACTCTCTCTGTTGGCTTTGAGGGAGTATCCTTGTCTCAACTTCTCTTGGCGTTCCTTGGAGAGCCCCATGTGGCATCTGTTTTCCTCCATTTATGTGTGCTTTTTTCTCTGCCCAATCTGCTCTTTTTTAAATCTCAAAAGCGATTGACTTAAGACACGCCTTACACAGATATTGTTGTTATACGCCGTTGAGTCGGTTCCCACTCATAGCGCCCCTGTGTAGTGTTTCCAAGGCTGTACATATTTGCAGGAGCAAAAAGCCTCATCTTTCTCTCGCAGAGTGGTTGGTGGCTTGTGGTTGGCAATCCACTGCTTATCCTACAGAGCCATTGCATTGATGTTGTTAAATGCCATAGAGTTGGTTCCGACTCATGGCCCTGTATAGGTTTTCCAGGGAACAGCTGGTGGGTTTGAACAGCTGACTTGTGGTTCTCAGTCCAGTGTTGCTCCTACAGCACCACACCAGAAGTCTTCTCCACTGATAGTGCCTCATCAACATACAAACATACAAAGAAAACTCTGTTCAAACATAACATACAAAGAAAACTCTGTTCCCAAATGGGATGGTATCTGAAAGTGGGTTGTTAGGTGCCATGGAGCTAGTTCTGCCTCATTGTCTAACAGAACAAGCCACTGCCTGGTGCTGCACCATGCCCACAGTTGTTTCTATGTTGCAGCCACTGTACCTATCCATCTTGTTAAGTAAGAGTCTTTCTCTTTTTTGCTGACCGTCTACCAAGTGTGTTGTTCTTCTCCAGGGACTGGTCTTCCTGATTACCTATCCAAAGTAAGTGAGACAAAGTCTTGCTGTCTTCACTTCTAAAGAGCATTCGGGCAGTACTTACTCCAACATAGATTTGTCTGTTCCTTTGGCAGTCTGTAGTTTTCAAACTCACTAGCTGTTCCTCGAAAACCCTATACTGGGTCTCTGTGGGTTGGAATCGACTCAATGGCACTTAACAACAACAGTATAGTCCATATTCTTTGCCAACAGCATAATTCAAATGCATCAATTTTTCCTTATTCATCATTGAAGATGTCAGTTTGTGGATTAAGGCACATCTGACCCAAGCCATGGCTTCCACAGGCACGTTGTTGTTGTTGTTAGGTGTTGTTGAGTCAGTTCCGGTGCATAGTGACCCTGTACACAACAGAAGGAAACACTGCTCAGTCCTGTACCGTCCTCACAATTTGAGCCCATTGTTGTTGCCACTGTCTCAGTCCATCTTGTTGGGGGTCTTCCTCTTTTTCACTGCCCCTCCATTTTACCGAACACGATGTCCTTCTCCAGGAACTGGTCCCTACTGATCACATGCCTAAAATAAGAGAGACGAAGTCTCATGATCGTCATTTCCAAGGAATAATCCAGCTGTACTTCCAAAACAGAATTGTCTGCTCTTTTGGCAGTCCATGATGTACTCAGTATTCTTCACCAATACCAAATGCACCGAGTCTTCCCAGTCTTCCTTCTTCCCTGTCCAGCTTTTGCATGCATACGAGGCAATTGAAAACAACATGGCTTGGGTCAGGCGCACCTTAGTCCTCAAAGTGACAGGCATAAGAGTTGATATTCCAATAACATTTCACGCAGACACATAACTAATGGTATGATTCAAGAAAATCCTTTACCCACAAATATTTTCCACAGGCTCACCCACCACTGTGCCTGAACCTCTCAGTGTGAGCTCTTACTGCATTTAGATAGCTCTTCATGCTTAAACATGATTTCACACAATCATATGATTGAATCTTCCCAACAGGTTTGTGAGATGGGTGTTGTTATTATAGATAAAGAAACGAGGCTGAGAAAGGTTAAGTGACAGAGTCCAGGCAGACTCCTGGTTGATGGTAGGGCTGACATCTTCATGTAAGAATATCTGACTCTAAAGTGCCTTCCACTAAGCAACACCTACTATGTGAACACCTAGTATGTACCAGAATTGAAGCTGTGAGCAGGAAATAAGTGGTAAGCTAGTCTTGGTCTCTGATTCCCACTCATGTGTGTCCAAATGGAACTGTGTTTTCAGTGGCTGATGTTTCAGATGTAGGTCTCTAAGTCTTTCTTCTGAGTGGCTTTTGGGTGGGTGCGAACCTCCATCCTTTTGGTTAGCAGCTGAGTGCATTAACCATTTGTGCCATGCTGGGGCCTCCAGAATCTTGGTTTATTGTTGTTAAGTGTCATTGATTCAGTTCCCACTCATAGTGATGGTGTATATGGTTTCCAAGGAGCAGATCGGCCTTACGGTGAGCAGTTCAGTGTCTATCCTACAGTGTCTATCCACATCAAGACTCCTGCTTAAGATACCATGATACGTTCCCAGTCAAAACAACAAACTCTTCACTACCTACAGTCTAGGACATACAACAAAGGCACAGTGTGTGGAACTGAATGACTACATCACAGGCTGTGGACACCCCCAGCAGTAGGACTTGACGAGTGTCCCGGACCTAGGAAATGACCTGCAGAGGTTTGAGATGGATCCAGAAGGGCTCTGAGCATAGAGAGCAGCCATTCTGAAAGAAGGGCACAAATATGCCAGAGCTTCCAAAACCCAACCCAACCCGTTGCCATACAGCTGATTCCAACTCCTAGGATTTCCAAGGAGTCCTGGTGTGGTACTGTAGGATAAGCACTGGGCTGCAAATCACAAGGTCGGCAGTTTAAACCCACCAGCTACTTGACTGCACTTAACAACACCAGTAATCTTTATGGGAGCAGACAGCCACTTCTTTCTCCTTTTAAGTAGCTGGAGGGTCCCAGCTGCTCCCCCTGTAGTTAGCAGACAAATGCTTTAACCACTGAACTATCAGGACCCCTCCTCGGGTTGTTGATAAGTGCCATCAATTTGGAGCTGACTCATAATGACCCTGTATAGGGTTTCCAAGGAGCGGCGGTGGGTTTCAGTGGTCGTGGTGGTTGTGTGCCGTGGAGCTGGTTCCCTCTCATAGGGATCCTGTGTAGGGGTCCCTGCTGTAAATCTTTGTGGGAGCAGAAAACCTCCTCTTTCCCCTGGGGAGCACCTGGTAGATTCAAACTGCTGACCTTGCAGTTAGCAGCTCAGCTCATAACCCACTATGTTACCAGGGCTTGTTGGGTTTCAATACCGAAGAAAAAAATTTGCAGGTTGATTTCTATGTATCTGCTATCTAATCCTTTAAACTCCTATTTTGAATTTGTATATATTGGAGGTCTGCTCAGTGTTTTTCCCTTTTTACTTATTGTTAGCTGCTGTTGAGTTGGCTCTGGTTCATGGTGAGCACAACATTGCCCCATTCTGTACTATCTCTACAACGGTTGGAACTTTTTAAAATTGTGGCAGATGTATAGTTAAGAAAATGTTGACCATTTCAATCATTTTTACATGTATAGCCCAGTGACCTTATATTCATCATGTTCAACCATCTCCACTAACCATCCACTG